CGGCACGTCATGTCCAATCCCACATTGACGCAGCTCAGACACCATCTCAGCTCGGACACCGTTATCGGCTCGGCCATAGGTCGAAAGGTCCTCTCAGCCGACCGTATCGGCTCGGCCAAGGACCAATAGAATACTTATAACGATAATCATGGTTAACAAGGGACAATACGTAATTAAGGCATAACCAGCCGATTAGCATCGTATTACCTAATTTGGTAAGTGTCAGAGAAGGCCCACCATGCTCAGGCCCATGACAGGTACTATAAATAAGTCACACGAAACGAGGTATGTCACTGTTCAATTATTACTCTTGAGAATCGTGCTTGTCCTGACTTGAGCGTCGGAGTGCCTTTTGCAGGTACCTCCCCCCTCTGAAGATCCATCTGGAGCTCTCGTTCGGCCCTCTACCAACCAGAAGATTACGAGTGTACCCTCAGACAGGTACATTTTGTCGCCCACCGTGGGGCCGAACTGAGAGACTTAAGAAGACACTAAGTGAGCATCATGGCAAAGACAAGAAGAACAAACACTGAAGATCACCGATCCGAAGCAGACAATGTCGAGACGGTTGACGAGACCAACATGGCCGAAATGGTACGACAAATGAAGGAGGAAATGGCCGCCATGAAGCAACAACGAGAGAAAGACACTCGTGAGATGGCCGCCTTGAGGGAAGAGAATGCCGCCCTAAAAAACCAAAACCAGGATCCCACGTGGAAACCCTCCGAGCCGACTCACACCCAGGGGTCGTTCCACTCGCTTGGACATCATACTTCCCTCCCTCACACTTCTGCTGCTGCACCGGGAAACCACGCCTCAGCTGCCCAAGTAACCGGTCGACCCGTGTACGCTCCGCAGACTGGAACACACCGACACCCTTTTACCCCAAACATCATGCAATCCTCCCTCCTCGATCACTAGAAGTCCCTCCCGTTATACAAGTACGACGGAACCACCGATCCCGACGAGCATATCAACATCTTTTTTACCCAGGTCACCCTCAGCACTACCGACGTCGCCGCCTTATGTCGAATCTTTCCAACATCTTTGAAGGGTCG